TGATTTTTATATCTAAGATATATATATATAAATAAATAATTTTTTCCTTTTTAGAAAATACTATACAAGTTTATGGACATCGAATCTATCATTAATAATCTTAGTTGGCAGCACCTCCAACTATTTCATATGTGTTTTTGTATGTATACATACTATTATATATATATAAACATACATATGTAACGTGTTGGACGATGCAGCAGCGCGATATGAGTACTGTATTTCCGCGGTATTTCCTTGGTATTTCATATCTATTCCAAGCAGTTACCTCTGCCGTATCTACGAACACGGAGCAGTGGCATATGTAAATGCACCTTGCAGCATATGTCCAATTATGTCCATGATGAACGCCACCCTTAACGACTGCAAAGCTCAAGCTACTCGACACTTATACATCTGGGAGATTATGTCAGCCGCGAAATTATCTTCATAGTAGAGAGAACGAGGAAAAGAGAAAAAGAGAGATACGTTACTTATTGTTAGCTAAGCATGCATTCATTTTGTTGTATGGACTATTATTTGGTATGTTTTTTTTGTTCTCAAAAAGAGAAAAATAAATTTAAACTTACATACAATAATTTTTAATATTACGAGCATTTTTTAATAATGCAGCTCTGAATTTATTTGATTTACATATTATGATAATTTTTTAATTGCTTTCATAATTAAAACGATTACCACATAAATACAATAATAAAAAATTTAAAAATATTTGTAAAGAATTATTTTTCTCCTATTTTGGTGAAACTGCTGGCATTGTTTCTCAAATGCAATGCGTGATTTGGCGATTACAGCATGAGCAGAATAGTTAAATTCTATGGAAATACGCGAGATTAGGCTGCCACCTTAAACGCTTAGGCAGATCATACATTCATAATCTGTGCGAGGATGTGTTACTTAACTGTATAATTCACCCGATATTCCAGAGAAACATTGCACCTGCTTCCATCCCATGCAACATAGACACTGTGACCCTTTAAGCTTACTGTTCAAATACACTCTTTTCGTATTGAAATGTAGGTAATATAACATTCATATTCGTATAATTAATGAAATTATATACTTAAAAATATATATATAATATTAAATATTAATATAGATTTTTTATATTTTCAAAAATTTATGTAATATGTAAATGTTATAATATATCTAAAGAGCTATTGAGTTAATAAAGAAATTATTCTTAGATATTAGATAAAAAGTTATATCTATATGCTAAATATTGGAATATGTCATATCATATGTTTCCATTTACAAAGTATCAAGAGAATTTGGATTGCATGGAATTTTAAAATATCGAAATCTGTTTTTTCAAATTGTGGAAACCATCGCAGATAATCGTCACACATATTTAAATTAAAAATAGTATTGTTATATATGTACATAATATGTATTTTTATTTGTATGTTATTGTCCACATCGTATATCTATATGTTACAATTAGAAAAAAATATGATTTTTAATACATATATTAATAACGTACGCAAAATATATACAGCGTATATTAATAAAACTCTTCTCACATAGACATATATATATATATATATATTATGTGTGTGTGTGTGTGTGTGTATAAAGAGCAGATAGTCTATCTGCAAAACGCTGTATATATATCCTTCTTCGCAATAATGTGAACTATTACTTTGATCCTAATTACTGAGATAATAGCACACTGGTTGAATAGTGAACAAGATGTAAAGCAGTATATATCAGACATTAAACAAGGCTGATTGTTACAATACTAAGCACTGTTACTAATTATTACGCGCACAATGCAGGTAATTCAATTTTATCATTAATTAGTTTGTATTATTGGCTCATCATGTAATCGTTATATTATATTTCGCGCATTATTTTGCATTTCCATATAATTCTTCCCATTTCAATGATATTTCTTTTTATCTCGTAATTTATGTTACGATGTGCCTTTAAATATTAAAAGGTACATTGCGTAAATATTAAAAGGTACTACTGCAAAATTGGCACGCGGCTCAGCGAATCTGAAAACATTATCGAAAATGCGCATACTGTTATTCTATGAATAAAATTGTCGCGTATAAGTTGAATAATATAAATTACACGTGCAGAATCTATATATTAAATGGAAATGAGACTCGTTTAATTGCTATATGTTCCGGGTCGATTATGACTTTTCGATCGAAGACTAATAACCATCCAACTAATATCCGGTTTGCTGCCAGCACTGAGAAAGTAAATCCTTTAATGAGAAATATTCGTTTTAATTTAATCTTTGGCGGTCTGCCGACACACTTTGCGAACAAATTACGGACTGCAATGAGAATTGCGAGCTCTCGAAGTGCCAGCAAGATAATTATTCTAGTACTTAAAGAAATGAATTAAGAAATATCTCTCTTTGCTGATTCATGATGTCATCTTGGGGTTGAATTTAGTTGTGTGCAGCAATTAACTTTTTCAAAAGAGATCTTTTCTTTCCATATTATCAAACTTAATACTCTGCCATGTATTATTCAACATTTTAACTTTGCATGTTCTGATCTTAACTATGCATTAAAAAAAAAGAATAAGTACGTATTTTTTAAAATAATGATATATAAGATGTAAAAATTGAAATATTGCCGTAATATTTATATTGGCGAAATATTTAGTTAAAATTGATATGGAAATAAGATTTCTACAGAATATATATATATATATATATATATATATGTATACGACCGCTGTATCTATTGATATAGTGTATTTGCCTTCTCGTTGCGGTCAAAACTGCGGTCAAAGCTATCTTATCTATGTTCCGGTGAATTTGCTGCGAGGCAAAACGCATACAATGATATCAGTTGTGTGTGCTTCTAACAAGTTCTATTCTATGATATCGAAACGACTGGAACATCGTATGAAAGTTTATAAATATAGCGTGAGAAATACCAATTATATCCCAAAGTTAATTAGGAAAAAAATACATATCGTATATTTCAACTTTTTAAATAACAAATAACAAATAACAAATAGCAAATGTACCATATTTTTGTTATAGATATTTCTAAATATATATAGTACCTATATATGTAATATAAAATAGAGAGAGAGAGAGAGAGGGAGGAGGAGAGAAAGTGAGCAAGCCAATAATTATGTTCTACTTTTTCTTTAAAATAAAATAACAGTTGTCACACTGTTCTTGCTTTAATTTTAATAGATTTTTGTTCTCGTATTTGCTTGTAACATTATTGGAAAATAATGTCATCTGTCAACTATGTCATTCTTGATGATATCGGACGTAAACATGGTGAGAGAAACAGATATTTCTTCTATATTATATATAAAATTGTATATTATTATTAATATATATATATACAATATATGTATATATAAAATATAATATGCACATATATATTGCCGATAATTCATATACTTACGGACAGTTACAATGCTTCTAGCATTCTCGAAGCTATAATAGAATAAGACGATTTATGTTGCAGTCTATCAGAATTCTGCTATCGTTAAGACACAAAGCGGCATATATATATATATATATATATATATATATATATATGTATATATAAACCTAGTTAAATTTACATTCAAGACTAAATTTAGTTTTGCGTCGACAGTTTAGAAATATCGTAGATGATTGTATATAAGTTCTTCAATAATTAGTTAATTCTCTCTCTCTCTCTTTCTGTCTCTCTCTCTTGTTTCTATAAAAAGGTAAAAAAAGGCGACCAGTTAAGGGCACACCATTAACAAAAATTATCCATTGCAAACCCATGTACAATAGAATTGTATGAAAAATTATCGATTATAAACCAATGTACAATCGTAACAAAAGTAATGAAATAAAAAAAAAATTGCGCCAAGTGAAAGTAGAAACTTGTACCAGTGGAAAATTAAAGTTGCAGACATATATAGAGTCGTATAATGAATCAATAAAAATTTAAATTTGCAAATGTAGAATTGTACCATAAAAAAACTTATCTTTAAAAAAAAAGATAAACAAGATGCCAAGTCCATGCGCCATGTGAAAAAGTGTTAAACAAAAAAGTATTTTTAAGTAAAAAAATCTATCAATTGACAAAAATTTATGTTCTAAAATTAATATCTCTACAAAAAGTAATGTCCAATTATTGCGCGAATAAATAAACATTTTTATAAAAAATTAAAATTTAAAAACTTATGCAAATTTAAAATTAATATAAAATAAAAAAAATAAAAAAATTTTAGTTAAAAAAACTGGGCGCGCTGCTAAATAATATTCTAATGATATTAAAATTAAATTGTTACTTTTAAACTCATTGCAGCGCGCCCAGTTTTTTTAACTAAAATTTTTTTATTTCTTTTTATTTTATATTAATTTTAAATTTGCATAAGTTTTTAAATTTTAATTTTTTATAAAAATGTTTATTTATTCGCGCAATAATTGGACATTACTTTTTGTAGAGATATTAATTTTAGAACATAAATTTTTGTCAATTGATAGATTTTTTTACTTAAAAATACTTTTTTGTTTAACACTTTTTCACATGGCGCATGGACTTGGCATCTTGTTTATCTTTTTTTTTAAAAGATAAGTTTTTTTATGGTACAATTCTACATTTGCAAATTTAAATTTTTATTGATTCATTATACGACTCTATATATGTCTGCAACTTTAATTTTCCACTGGTACAAGTTTCTACTTTCACTTGGCGCAATTTTTTTTTTATTTCATTACTTTTGTTACGATTGTACATTGGTTTATAATCGATAATTTTTCATACAATTCTATTGTACATGGGTTTGCAATGGATAATTTTTGTTAATGGTGTGCCCTTAACTGGTCGCCTTTTTTTACCTTTTTTTAAAGGTGAGTTTTTAGAGATTATATCATTCATTTTTGTATATGATAAGCATCTTTAAATAAATAAGCAAATTCAATTTTTCTGGCATTTTCTTATTTTAGGTACATATATATCCAATAATTAATATACAAAATTAAATATTATTCATCACACAATTTGTATCAAAATAATATATTTTTAAAAATTTATTTTAAATTTATTTAATCATTTTTATCATTGTGATTGTAGTGGCAAGGATTTTATTGCTCAGTGTCATTGCAAGCATCTGGCCTGTATATACCATAATATATTGTGTAATACATTGGCTAAGTATGACAATATGGATTTTGATAGATTCCCATGGAATATTGGAATTTTGTCGGACTTGCAGTCATCCACCACATATGCAGCCTACAATTAAAGAACGCATTTATTCCATATTATTTGCTTCCGTTATTGGCATAGTGCACATTTTTATATATCTCAATGCTGTAGATAGCAAAACATTTTGAAAACATCTATCTTTCTATGTTATCTGCTTTTTTGAAAATATTGCAGCAAATTTATTATGGCAATATGCTTGTCCTCCTGCAGTTAAAGAGGCTTAGTACTTTAATATAATCTTTATTATTTGTATCATTTCCTTTTTCTTGGGAATTACAGCAATGCTTTTGTACTATATTGTCTTGCATCCCTCAAAAAGACAACATACTTCAAACGCACCAGTTCAAGCAATGTAACTTTGATATTTATTTACTTTAAAAAATGAGAGATAAATTATACAATATGCAATTAACCTTATCTTATGACTTTTATAAATCTTATGATAAAATCTAACTCTCTCTTAATCTTTATTATGAAAAGAATCTCGGTATTATATGAAATAATTTCATTGTATAGTTTAACTTTCAAAAATTTTGCAAAATAAAATAACTCACATTGTATTTCTACCATATATATAAAAAAAAGATAGGTAAATATAAATAAATAAATATATATTTATGATATACAATAAATAAATATATATATATATATATATATATATATATATATAAAAATGTTGGATTTTTATTATATATATATAATTTCAAAAAATCTTTTTTATATGCTATTGAATTTTAATACATACAATTTTGATTATATGTATTTTAATTGATTATATTTATAAGTATTTTTATATTATCTTAAAAAGACTGCATAGAATTATTTGTGCGACACTCTTATATGTATGTATAATTAATAGGGACCAACTACACATTTTTTTTTCCACTGAATAAAAACAATCTCAATATTAAAATTAAATTATAAAAAAGATACTGTGATATTTTATTGATGAGAAATGTACATTTATAATTGTATTAAATACAAAAATAAACATGCCATGAATTACTATATATACATATTTTCATAATTATCAAACTTAAAAATATAATATTGTTACCAAAGAAGAAAGCACTATTTAAAAACTCTAAAAGTTCATAATTTGTTAAATTAGTAATTAAATACTGCATTTTGTATAATTTTTAAGCTTTATTCTTTTATTTTTCTTTATTTAATTGAATAGATATTAACATCCACAATGTAGCATACAGATTAAATTAACAACCAAAGAAATAAATCTTAACTTTGAAATATATTTTTGTTTCTTTTAAATATCAATCAACTGGATTTTGTACTACTATTAATATGAATTCTTTATCTGGTGCCATCATAATTTTATGTTTTTTGCTACGTATGCGCAAGAAAGTTAAATCATTTGTTGGATTCAAGTCACGTACGACAGAACGAGCTTTATCTGACAATTGACTTATCAAACCTGCGTATTGAACTGTTGTCGTATTATCTAATGTTGACTTTATAGGAATACCTAAAACAGATATAATTTTATAAATTTTTGTTTACAACTACAAGTAAATCATGTCAATGATCTCATGTAATACCTTCTGCATTCACCACTATTGTTCCAACTACCCTTTTATGAGACT